GCAGCGTCCTCCCCACAGGGCACCATGGGCCCCGGGTCGGGGGAAGGGCAGAAGGGGTCCCCGACACATGGGTTAGGAGTCACCCAACAATGACGTGAGCCTCTAGGTCAAAATTCAAGCCTGCTGGTGACACCCTGCTCATCCACAGCAGGGTGATGCAGGCCTACCCACCAGGGGACAGCAGAGTGCCTGTGTGCCCTGGTCCCCCTGGCCACAGTGTACCTGACTGAGGAGCCCCGCCCCCACGGGACGCACCCCCCCTCCCCACGGCCCTGACCGCATTGCCCCAGCTCTGGCCTTAGTAACCTGAGACCCAACCCATCCCACGTGTCACCTGAATCTCCAAGACAAAACTTGTTTTAAATGATGAGGGTACTTTTAGAATGCTTTTCCATCTCTATGCGTGGTTTTTAGCGTGTTTTTAAAAGAAGGTACTTAGAACCAAAGTGAAAGGTGGGTGTTGTCTGCATGCTACATAACCAGAAAGCCCGTCTTCCACCCCAGGCCGGCCAGTGTCGGCAGGTGGCATCTGTGCTGAATCCAGGTTCCCGCAATGTCACAGACCCCGGGAGCCAGGGCCCCTCACCCAGTTCTCAGAGGAGGAAGGGGTGCAGGAGAGGCTTGGAACACATGAACCAAGTAGTGAACCTCAAGGAAACTAGAGACTGCTGGATGTCTCACAGACGGCACTGGGATGCACGAGGTCTCGCCTCCCTTGAGTTTCAGGTGATACAGTCAGGAAACCAGGCAGAGGTGATGCTTCTGGCTTTTCGGTGGGCTGATTGCTTTCTGTTTGCAGAGAGAATTGCAGCTTAAAAACCAGTATATGTGATTTTTCCATTTTAAAATACAGGGTCCAGCCCAAATAACGCCCCTTTTTGATTACACTTTTTTGCTACAAAACCCTGAGCATGTGACTCTGTGACACAGCCCTGTCCCACTGAAGCCGTGTGACATTTGAGGGGAGACGCTCAAACTGAAACTGGGCACTGTCGCACCCCTGTGATCACCCGCCAGCCACACTCAGGCCGGCGTTACCTCTGCTGGACACTGCACTTTAGTTTTCACTTCTCTACGCTTATTTTGTCTTAGTTATGTGACCAAAAAAATCAAAGTAAAGAAGTATATTCTGGACTTACATCTCCTCAGGCAAAAAACCGCTTTTGGGCTGGACTTTTTGTATAAATGAAACAAAGAATTATCTATATGTAGCGTGGATCCCTTCACAAACAGGTTTTGCTGCTATAGACAAGGCCTAATTTTATATTTTCATGATTTCCTTGGAAATTGAGGGCAGTGAGGAAATGTACTTTTCCACGTCTCGGGCACGTTCCCCTGGGAGAGCTGCCGTGAAAGGTACGGAAAGACTGCAGCGGCGCCCGCGGAGACTCGGCACATGCCAGTCTGACCCCCCTGCCGTCAGCTCGAGCGGTCAGCGAGCACCCGTCCACCCGCACTGTGGCTGCTGTGTCCCTGGCCCGTCCGCGAGTTCGCTGCACAGGCTGGGCCGGCTGTGCAGACAGGCCCAGGTGCAGGCTGGATGTGACGGCGGTGCTTTCAGACTTCTGTTCGGAGACTTTGAACTTGATGTCGTGTTCTAAATGTATTATTTCATACGCCTGTTTCTTAAGTGCTCATAGTTACTTTTTAAGCACACCGGGCTGAGTCAAGAGGAAGAAGACCCTGTAGGGTGGTCTTGTGAATAAGCGAGCAATGACGGAACTCCAGTGGGCAGACTGAGCTCCTGCATGGCTGCCTCTTGGTCTCGGGCTGTGGTTTGCAGCCGTGGGCGTCGGTCATGGGTCTGGCTGAAGGACACAGCAGAGGCAAACCTGAGAAGCAAGTCGCCTGTCGTCCCACTTCTATGACGTAACCAGTGCAGCGCTGTAGGGCTTTCATGGTTCCGGAGCTGGACGTGTGGGCAGAAGTCCTTTCCTGGTGGCAGGGGGCGTATCTCACGGCCTCTGTGCAGGAGTGACCAGCCTTGGCGCCTGCACGGGCCCAAGTCAGAGAGAGGAGGCCCGGAGCAGGAAAGCATTCTGGGAAGTTGGGGCTCGGGCCGCGCGGTCCGAGAGCCGCCACAGCGGACGGACCCCCGGGCTCCGCCCAACGGGCTGGCTCACGGCTTCCGAGATCCCAGCTTGTGGGTGGTCCTGAATTCTCTTTTCCTTAGATCTGACCTGGGTACTTTAAAATCTAAGCACATTTAAAACCTTTTATTGCGATTTTTCCTCACCATCTTAAATGTCTCTACAAGACCAGTTTTTCCAGCCAGACAAATAACACAGAGTGCCCAAATTCCTTTCTTTCTGGACTTCTTCAGTCCAGGGCAAATGCAAGAAGACGCATAAGACGAGGGGTCACCGTGTTTTTGTCTTGAGTTTGTCCGTGAGGCGGCAGGACAGGGCTGAGTTTCCTCATGGCGGCTTCCCCAGTAGTGCTGTGCCGCGGGAGGGTCCAGCTGCCTGAGTCAAACGTGGCTTGTAGCCGGCTCTCACGCCCCTTACCAGAGGCACTTGGTGCCGCTGTCTGTGACAACACCCGGCAGCAAGGGGGGCACCGTGCTGGTCTTCCGTGGTGCCCGGTGCTGCAGCTCAAAGAGCTGGTGCCTGTTTGGGGGGTTTCCATGGAAACCCAGCCATCTCTTCTGCCACTTCCAACCCACGCTGTGGGCCTCGGGGGGGTCCAGTCGGCCCACACAGGCCTCCCTTTGTGGAAGAGATGCACTCTCAGTGGGGTGGGTGCAAATTGAGTTTCTGTTCCTTGATGGTGCACCACCGTCACCAGGGCCTGGCGCTGCTGCCAGCAAGAGGCAGTGCCCCCTCTGTTAGCAAAACAGTCACTTCCTCCTCCCTTACCCCGTGAGAGACTGTATTTTTGAATGTTGAGGTTTGTTAGCTAGGGAATCAGCATGAACATCTAAGAGTTTTAAAAGCCTTCATGTCTTGAACATTGATTGACACACAACAGAGCAGGTGGAGGAGTTGGGAAACCATCCTGGGCTGCCTTCTGGGTGGCCTACGAAGAAGGGTGGACACATGGTGCCCGGGGGACTCAGGGGCCAGTGCGGGAGGAGAGAGGAAGAAGCCCCCCTCCAGCACAGATCAGACTGGGGTCCTGCCAGGAGAGGAGGGGAGTCAGGTCGCCAGTGAGGGGCGCCCTGGTTCGGGCCCCGTCTGCCCGACCTGAAACCCTGAGAGTGAGAAGGAACCTCTTCCGGAAGCGAGGCCTTTTGTGGGGTGTCTTTTCACCCCAACACAGTGAGCTCTCTGAGCAGGAGCCAAATCGGTATTTCATCCTCACGGTGATAAAGGACTTTTTAGTTGACTTTTTTAAATCACGGGACACACTCGTCAACGGCTTACTCACACAAAACTCCTCTGAAAAATCTCCCTCTCGTTTTACAGCTACTAAAATCTGACTTTTATTTGTAGGGCTTTGGTTGCAATGCATCACTGTGAAGTTGAACAGAATATGTCAACCTCCTGCCCCCATCAAAAAAGGCATATGAAAAAATTTATGCTCATGTTAGAATGAATAAATCTTAATTAAGTTTGCACCAAGTGCTTAAATTAGGAAGAGTTTAAGGATTTTTTTTTAACAAAAAGCAAGGCCAAGTGTGTGTCACTGACCTGCGGGAAACACCTGTTTCTTGCTGCACTTTCAAGACAGAAACTTGCATGAACTTTAGCTTGTCCCAGAGCCTCGTGGCGTAAGGCTCAAGGTTTGTGTATCCACCAGGCACCATTGGAGAAGTCAGCTTTTGAAGTCACTAGTTAGAAAACAATTACTTAGCAATAAACAGAGTAGCCTTGTGATCGAACAAACTGCTTCCACAAAAGTCAGGCCAACAGCCGGATTCCTGGCGGTGGCTGTGACACATGGATCCTGTCTAAGCCTTGAGCTGTTCTGTCTCGCACCCCGATTCCACACACACACACCTGCGACTTCTCCTTTCCCACTTTACTCAGTTACTTTTAATCCCCCCACAGCACAAACTGGGGTTAAGCTCTAACCTGTAATGGGATGTGGCAACTGTCAGTCTTGTGCCCTGAGACCTAGCATTGTGTCCCCTTGCTTGGGCTCATGGAGAATTTGACACTTTCTAAGAAGCAAAAATTGCCAATGTGTCCAAGCGTCAGAATACGGCATCACACAGTTGAACACCATCCAGTCTCACAACCCCACGCCCCTCCCCACGCTCGCCTCGGGTTCCGGGGACGCCACTGGCTGGCCCAGCACCGGGACCCAGGGAGGCACTCTGAGTGAGAAGCAGCGTGGAAGCTCAGAAGCAGTATGCCTCTGTAGATCTTTAAAATTTATGTTTTTCATCCCTAATGTTTCATTTCTGGTGGGCACAAAAGCCACCAAAACACTGAATACGGCTGTGCAGTGCTGCCTGGTTATTTGGAGAGGGCCGAGTGGAGCAGTGAGACGGAGGGAAGGGCCACGGCACTCTTCTCCACCCCGCCAACCCCGACAGGGCAACGTGGGGTGGAGCCGAGAGGCCTGCAGGCGGGCGCGGCCGGGAGGGCGGAGCAGACCCACCCATCTGGGCTGCCTGGGCCTGGTCGATGGGGACAGGTGTGTGCTCTGCTGAGTCCGTCGAAAGTAATGGGATTTACAGTCAGTCGGGCCCAGCTGATGGTCGGGCCCGGTCCCCCCAGCTCAGGCCCACGGGCGGGGGTGTGCAGAGCGGGACAGTGCCATGCGCACTCGCCCATGGGAAACCCTGGCCTCCTGTGCCTGGGCTGTGTCACCGGCCCCTCGGGGACTGCATGTGACTGGGCTCCCAGCATGGCACGGGAAGCAGCACGGGTGGCCTCCGTGGCAGTGGCAGGAGCCACATCCACGCCGGCCATGGAGCCTCCACTGTGCTTCTCCCCACTCGGGGAGCTCGAGTGTTAACAGGAGTTCACCCTTCGGAGAAATGAGAGAGAATTGCTCAGAGGTTTCCATTTCTGCCGAGTAAAGCGCCCACTCTGTGTCTTTCCTTGCAGGTGCCCCACCCCTGGCTGCGATGGCTCTGGACACATCACTGGCAACTACGCGTCCCATCGAAGGTACGTGGGGGCTGGGCTGCTGCCGAACCGCCCTTTCTTAGCGCCCCTGCCCGAGTGCTGCTCACAGCCCCCACCGCTTCCCCCGGAGCGGTGTGTGGCCCACTGGGTCTCCTGGTGCCAGACGCTAGCCCTCTGGCCCAGCTCGTGCTCCGCAGCGGCTCCACCGCTACAAGCAGGTCTGAAGTCGGCCAGCGGCACAGTCGTTGTCCTACGTGGGAAGAGAAGGTGCAGGGAAAGCGTAAGACCCCTGAGCACCACCGTCATTAGAAGGCCACCCTCTCTGACACCTGGAACACTCCGGGCTGAGCCACCAGCGGCACAGTCACAGCCCGCAGGGGCCCACAGTGGCCCGCAGAGCTGCGCACATGGACACGCCGGGCCTTAGCGCTTCCCAGCACCTCCCCATGCCGCCCTCCGGGAGACAGCAGCGTCTGCACACAGCACAACAGACATGTCCTGTGGTGGCAAACATGCCAAACGAGCCGGCACTCAGTCCACGTATACGAATCCCCGTGTCGCGCCCGGCCCCGGGCTGAAGTGAGAGGGAAGAACCTTTTGGTGCCACGGCCACACCGGGTGGGTCCAGACCCCGTGGTCAGTGCAGGGACTCCCCGCTCGTGCGGCGAGGTGAGCACACGCTGTGTCTGGACTAGGACCCCTGCGGGGATGCAAAGCCGGCTGCTCTGATGCTGAGTGGGCTGAGCGGTCACACAGCCGTTTGCTGCCACTGGCCATGACGTCCCCGATGATGATGTGGGTGTTCTGACCGAGGACACGCTCTCCTGCTTCACATGCACCCCCCGCAGAACCAGGGAGAGCGAGGAGTGTGAGGGCCGTGGCTGGCTGCCGGCCACCGCTGCCACAGCAAGGTCATGCTCGCACGCCCAGGGGAGCAGGCAGCAGGTCGGAGGCCGCACCCCAGGCCAGGGGTCAGAGCAGAGGGGTCAGCCGCTGGCTGGCCCGGTCCGATCCTCTTCAGGACCTCACTGCGAGTCCCATGCCTCCGGGGCCACTTCCCAGCCATCGGGGGCACTGTTGGCGCCGCTCAGGCCTAGGGCAGGTGCCGAGTGTGGAGCCAGAGGGGCTGGGCTCTGCAACGCCGGCGACCTCCGTGCTCACCTGAGGCTGACCTCTCTCCTCCAGACCGGCTGGCCTGCCCGGCGCTGCCGACGTCCTGGGTTGGACAAGTCTTTGCTGTGGGGGCCACTTGTGACATCACCCAGTATTCCCAGGGCCGGAGCCGCCACCACCGCCCGCAGGTCAGGACAAGCCTCATGACGATAGGCTGGTGTCACCAGCATCTAGAGCACCCACTGCGTTCTGAACGTAGAACAAGAGTTACCTCCAGGAGGTGTCCGGGGTGAGGTCACTGGTTTAGAGCGAATCCAGTACGACCAGCCCTGGATCTCCGGCCAGAGGTAAAAGGCCACGTGCCGCCCACGCCAGTCTCCATGTCAGCTGGTCTGAGTGGCACCTGGTCCTCGCGTGGCCGGCACCTGCAGCAGGCGGTGATGTCTGCACAGCTGACAGCGAGCACCTCAGTTACCGCCTGTCCAGACATCGGTGTCTGTGGACTGTTTTTACTGAGCGTGGGGTACAGCGCAGTTTAAACATTTTTCATTGAACTTAAGTCTTAGGTGGGGAGTGTGGATATAGCATGAGCGTGTGCCCCTACCACGATTAACTAGAGAGCGGGCAAGCAGACTGGGTTTGGTTTTCGGCCCACGGAGGAAGTGGGTGCAGCAGCCCCCAGGCGTGGAGCAAGCAACAGGCTGAATGTGCAGCAGTGGCAGGTGTCCTGGTGACCATTCCCCCGCAGCAATGGGGGTGGCAGCGAACTTGGTGTCGGGCAAAGGTGCTGCCCCAGCTGGGAGACCCTGTTTAACTGAGCTCCAGCCCAGCACAGACGCTGGCACCTTCCGAGGCCTGTGGAGCGCAGTGGCCACAAGTTCAAGTATAAATGCTTCTTTTTCTGTTGGTCTCCGTTGCCCATTTCCCAGGAGCGTGGGGTCGTCCCCCAGACACGAACTCTGGAGAAGGCTGCGTTCCCTGAGGCCCGGGCAGCCTGGCTGTCCCCTCCTGGGCACAAGCCCGAACTCGAGACTGCATGCTTCCCCTGTGGCTTTCAGAGCCACGAGGAGCATCTGGTGACTTCGTCACTGTGTGCCGGTGGAAGCCGAGGCCATGAGAGGTTGTGTTGTGGAGCTGGGACCTCTGCGATGGACTCCCATGGGAATGGCCCGAGGTCGGTGCCTGTCTCATCACGACTGGTCGGATCCACGCTGGCTTTTCATTTTGGCACCAACAGTGGTGTGGTTTTTCTGCGCCGTCTCCAAAACTGTCCCGAGTTCCTTTCAGTCCGTGCATAATGACTGGCTCTGATGCTCTACTAAAAAAAACCCATTGTCTGTGCTTTGCTGCCCCCAACCCCAACCTGGTGGGGCGACCTCATGGGGCGTGGCCCCGCCACCTTGTCTCCAGGCAACACAAAAGGCCCCTCTCCTCAGCCCCTCGAGGGCCTGCCTGGTCTCCAGGCTTCTCGCATCTTCCCTGGCCCCAGGTCTGCGCTTCCTCACCTCCCCACTCGCCTGGTGAAGAAGGAGAGGCAGCCCAACACCAAGAGACCAGCTCTTCCCAGGAGCCCCGCGCGAGCGATGCTCAGCCCCCAGAGACGGGGGGCCACCCCCGCCCCCCAGCACACCTCTCCCTGCAGCTGGGTGCCGAGCTTCTGCAGTGTGAATGGCTACCTCGCTCCAACCAGAAGCAACCTGTCGGGTTTAAGTTTGGCCCCTGAAGAAGGAACCACAAATCCAGACCAAAGTTGGCAGCAAGACACTAAGACCGCTGAGCATGTCTCTGCCGGCACCTGGGAGACCCGCTCACGTTCTGGCTCATGTTGCAGGTTCACATCACGCTGACTGCGCTGGCGTCCTCGCCCTGGAATGTGGGCGGGATGTGGGTCCCCTTGAGCGGACGAGCACCTGTTTGCTGCACACCTTCTGGGCTCCCTACAGTCTGCCAGCCTGTGAGGCACGGCCTGGGCTCTCCAGCTTCGGCTTCTGCAGGGGGCTCAGAGCTGGGGCTGTCGGGGCAGTGGCATGTACTCCCCACGTCCCCAGGGCTGGTTGGGCACAGTTGTTTCTCGTGGGTTCCAGTGCTCAGCTGGTGGGAGGAGCGTCCTCTAGTTACCACCGAGTGTGAAGAAGTGGTTTGGAGAGCCAGCGGCCTGCCAGGAGGACCGGGCCCGGGGCAGAGGGTCTGTGGGAAGCTCAGGCCCTCGGGAACGCTGGGCCGCACCTGCAGACGGAGGTGCCTTGAGAGCACAGGCAGGGGCCGCACCGGGGGGCCCTCCCGCAGTCTTGTTTCCCGGCCCGAGAGCTCACACTTTCTGGAGAGACACCCACCAAGGCGCTGCCAGCCCTGCAGGACGGACACCCCGGGGCTTTCTGAAATCACGCTTCTTCTTTAGCCTTTCAGGTTGCCCGAGAGCGAAGAAAAGCGGCATCAGGATAGCGCAGAGCAAGGAAGACAAGGAGGACCAGGAACCGATCAGGTGGGCGCTGGCAGGGTGGGGCCTGGCGGGCTCAGTGGGGGGCCACCCTTTGAGATGTCAGTCGGCTGCAAGGTCCGGTCATTGAAACCCAGATCAAATCGAATCATCTAGGTAACAGGTGACTTCATAAGCGACACCCATCAGTCCGATGTTCCCAGTGAGTCAAACACCGACTTCCCGCTGCCCCTCGGTGGAAAGGGCCGCTCGTTTACACGGAAGGGCAGATGCTTGAAACCCCAGGGAGTGCGGAACGGTTCCCGGCCCCTGGAAACCACTGAGCTGCCCTCACTCTGAGGCGGGGCCCGGCCTCCCCGCACGGGGCCGGGGGGTCTGCGCCCACTCACGCAGGCTGCTGCCCGGACGGACACCCCGGGACCAGGGTGTCAGAAACCCCGAGGTGAACCCAGTGATGTCCCCTGGGATTCAGCCTCACTCAGTGCCTTCAGAGAAAATTTTACTAAAACAAAATAAAGATTAGTTGCCATAAAAATTATTAAAATAAGTTAAAATGTATCAAGAGAAATAGGTAACACAAATTCTATAGCATGTTGCCGTCCTTGAGTGAACCCTGTGTGCCCAGCCCTTCCCAGCAGCCTGGGGGGGTTTCAGAGGCAGGGCGAGTGTCGCTGGGCGGCAGCGCCAGCCAGGGGCGGTTCCTTTACTCCAGAAACGTGCCCAGGCCGTGCTTCGCGCTGACGCCGTCTGGAACCTGGGGGGCGTCTTGTCCGTCTGGAAGGGCGCTTCCTGGCTTCCAGAGAACGTGGCCAAACAAACAAGTGTTTCCTAGCTCCCGAGAAGCAGCCTTTTCCCAAACAGCCCAGCCGTCTCCCACTGACCTTGGATAGTTTCACCGTAGACGCTGTGACTCCGTCCCAGGCCCCCGTGGGGCCGTTTAGCCACAGCTGGCCGGCCGGGGGGTTCCGTGAGGGGAAATGCAGCGTCACCCCACCAGGTGGCGTCTCCCAGTTCACGTGGGTTTTTTTTCTCTGCCCAAGCGCAGTGTGACTTTTTCTGCGTGTTCGGTGATTTTGATGTTGCTGCAGAGGCTGCCAGGCGTGAGGTGGCCAGACAGCGAGGTGTGTCTCCTGTGTCCGCCCTCAGGTGCCCCGTCCCCGGCTGCGACGGCCAGGGCCACATCACCGGGAAGTACGCCTCCCACCGCAGCGCCTCGGGCTGCCCCTTGGCGGCCAAGCGGCAAAAGGACGGGTACCTCAATGGCTCCCAGTTCTCCTGGAAGTCGGTCAAGACGGAGGGCATGTCCTGCCCCACGCCCGGATGTGACGGCTCGGGACACGTCAGCGGCAGCTTCCTCACACACCGCAGGTGAGTGCCCCGGCCGGCAGGCGAGGCGGGCACTGGCAGCCCCGTGGTCGCCGCCGAGCTGAGAGGGAAAGGCCCGGAGGCCCTGGCGCCGAGCGGATGCCCCCGACGTGGGGAAGAGGAAGAAAGCCGAGCGGGTTTTGGGAGGTGCCGCGCGCCGGGCCCGCAGCTTTCAGGCGTCTGCGGAGGGTCCCCCGCGAGGGGCAGGCTGTAGGCTCACGCCCACGCGGGCGTCCGTGGCCTTGGCCACGCACTCAGGCTGAAGAGCGAGCCCGAGTGCGTGGTGCCGGCCCCCAGGGCCCAGCGGAGGCACCGGCCAGGCCTGGGCCAGAGATGCAGCAGCAAAGCCCCAGGAGAGACAGCTGGACTCTGCTGCATGTGAGGAAAAGCCCCTGAGTGCCACTGTCTAGACAGAGGGGCCCGGCGGGCTCACGGCAGGAGGGTCGGGACCGCCGAAGGGGGCAAATCAGACGGCGGCCCGTCGGGTGGGAGTCCGGGCGTCATGGACACTGGGCTGGGGAGGTCGTGAGGGGGAAGCAGGGACATCGTGCTGACACTGGACAGCATGCGCTGGGGGGTGGGGTCAGGCTGTCCTTATCCTGTGCCCTGTGTCGCCGCTCCCTGCACACGGCACCTGTGGCTCCGTCTGTGACACACCCACGTGTCACACAGGACAGACAGAAGTGAACGCAGACCACGAGCAGTGACGATGGTGTGCTCACGGGGACAGGACAGCGAGTTCACCGTTCGTGCAGGAGGACTTTTTAGTGAAGAAAGGAAGGCAGGTAGAACATGCAGACAGATGGACAGGGCCAGAGAGAAGAGGGGTGTCCACTCCCCGACCCCCGCTCTCGGCTGACGTCGGAGGCAGGCAGTGGGGTCCCCTCTCGGCAAGCACCCCTGAGAGATGGCACGCTGACGGCACCCCACCCCAGCCTGCACCCCTTCTTTCCTCTCGTGCAGACGGATGGCAGTGCTTAGACACCTGCTCAGGGCAGGGCGGCCACGTGGGCTTCGTCCTGGGACACAGGGACCTCCCGCTGCCTCCTCCGCACCCCCACCAGGGCTCAGTATGTGCAGACGGCCCAGCCTCCCCCGGGTGCGGGCGGCCCGGGACCCCCATGCACCGCCCACCGCAGACGCTGCAGGTGCTCCTGCAAACGCACCTTCGGGACGCAGCCCTGGAAGCAGAGTGCCAGCCTGTGTCGTTTCACAGGTGGTGACGAAACGCTCTCCCAAGTTCCTACTTCAAACATTTGACCATCCGTAATGTTTTTAATTCTAAAACCCGGTCACATGACACACGAACAAGAGTGTGTGTGCTTTGCTAATCTGACCCGTAAAAACAAGCCCCATTCCTGTGGTTAAATACCAGCACTCCTGAGTGGCAGGAACTCTGGATGAGGCCGCTGACCCGCTCGTGCGAATGCAGGTGAGGGTGGGAGACGGACTCCGTCGTGACCCCGACTCCGGAAGCCAGTGCTGGTTGAGGGAGACGGGGCAGGGCAGGCGTGAGGAGAGTCAGCCAGGGGGGCCGCTTCCTGTCACCTCGGTCTCACACCGCCTCTAGTAAAACGCAGAAGGTTCTTCGAAATTAAGTTCACGTGCCCTAACCCTGATACAAACACAAAATCTTAGACGTAAGCCCTGCGTCCTTCCACAGGGGCTTCCCCACAGCGACCTTTCCACAGTCTCCTCGGGGCCCTAGGGACCCTGCTGGGCCGGGGCGCACGCTGCTGCACTCGCGCTCCGTCCTGCCAGAGCCCGTCCCCAACAAGCGGCCCTTTTCAGAGCGTTCCCCAGGCTCAGCGCTCCCCGAGGGCGGCAGTAGAAACCAGCCGCCACCGTGGCACTCGGAGGGACCGCAGCGTCCTCGCTCGGTGGGCGTGTCCGCTGGGATGGGCCAAGCGTCCCCACAAACACACCCCGAATGGGCTCTGGCACAGAGTCCATCCCTTGCTCGCAGCACAGAACTGGGTGGCGACAGGAGAGAAGGGACCTGCCTCCCACGGCATCCGAGGGTTTTCTCATTCCTCAGCCAGGGAGGAAAGGACCGGAGGGCCCGGGGCGCGTGGGAGCACCCCCACTTCCTTCACGTCCCGCAGGGCCAGGGCCAGGGCCAGGCCCCCGGCTGCGGTGGGATGTCCTCCGGCCTCCGCCGCGGTTCCACTCGCCACCCGTGGATCTCACTGCAGAAGAGGGAGGCGGGCTCTCTGCACCCCCTGCGCTGTTATCTGGCCTCATACTTGTTGCTTGTTTCGGTTTGGAGGAGGCCGGGGGCAGCCCCTGCCCGAACAGGCCTGTGCTCAACTCCGGACTGACGTCCCCAGGACAGGGACACCTCGAGGGCTTGCTGAGGAAGCGGTCGTGCCCCTGGTGCAGGGAGACATGCCACCCAAGGCCGTGCCCCCTCCCGCACCCACCCTTGAGGAGAGTCAGACCTAACTAGAACCCACAAGCAGCCCCCGAGGCCAACAGCGCACCACCGTCACCGCCCACAGTCCTCAGGGTCCCTTTGGAGGCAAGCTTCCTGTGGGGCCCTGCCTGGGCCCCCGCCTGCCTCATGCAAATCCCTAGGCACTGCCCTGTGGGGTTGACCACTGACCACTGACGACTGGCCGCAGCCCTGAACCGGCTCCTATTTATCCACAAGTTTTAGGATCTGCCCCAGAGTGCTCGGGAGGGAAGAACTCAGATCCAGCACCTGTGTCCTACTGCAAGTCCCCAAGGGCCGGGGAGGGGCTGGGTCGAGTCTGTGCCCCCTCCCCAGGAGCCGCGGGCTGCTGGGCGCACTCCTGCCGCTGAGGCCGCACCGCGTCTGGAGCCTCCCTCCTCGCCACCTCTGTCTGTCCCCTGAGGCGGAGGGTCTGACCTGTGAGTGTTCTCCATCCCATTAACTCGAGTTCAAGTCCGCCTGGGGGATACCACGCCTGGTCGCAGGTCCGAGCCGCAGGCTGAGGCCCTGCCCGACCACAGCCCTGCACGCCCCCAGTTCCTCCTCGGCTCTCGGTCCTCAGCTGCACAGCCTCCTCCGTCTGAGCCCTCCTCCGGGAACAAGGCCTGAGGAGGCCGTTCAGAGCCACTCGGGGCCCAGCTGGGCGAAGACAGGCTCAGCCCCCACGGGCACCTGCACCGGGGGCTCCTCCGTGGAACCGGCCCCCTCCACAGCCACCGCCCCTCGACGCAGCTCCTGGGAGGAGCGCAGTTCGCACAGCACGAGTGGGTGGAAACCCTGTGGGAAGCAGGGAGGCATCTGGACCGGGAGCCCAAGGTCAGCCCAGACACACCACCGCGTTCGGTCCCTGGACCGTCCGACACAAACGACGGAAAGCCGTGCTCTCCTGGTTCCGGAGGCCAAGTTCCGGGGTTGAGACTGGGCTTCTGCTGGCAGCAGGGCTCCCGGGTCTCTGCCGCCATCGCCCCGTGGCTGTGTTCCCCTGTGCCCCCTCCTCTCACGAGGACACGGTCGTCGGCAGGGCCTAGCCTCACCTCACCGTGGCCTGCTTGATCGCATCAGCAAAGGCCGTCCCCAGAGGTGGAGTCGTGCACAGGTCCGGGACGTTAGGATGTGAACAGACCTTTGGGGGGTGCCGTCAACCACAGCAGTGACTGCCACAAAAATCAGCTCCTGTCTCTCAGGGCCTGCCATCAGTAGCTGGAAAGTTCATTGTCGTGGAATCTCGGACTGGGGCCAGTGGGGGCTCCCGGCCCTCAGGACTGGACCCCCTTGTCTTCTCCCACGTCTGATGCTTGGAGCTTCCCTCCCAGGTCTCCTTTTGTCCCCAGCGGGGTGAGGTCGGGGGCGGCTGGGCGTGCACTTCCTGGCCAGTGGAGCCCTGCACAGGGCCTCTGGGGCATCCCCCCGCCTCCAGACAGGCTGGCCCGCACGCCCGACGGAATGCCTCTCGCATACTCGCTTCCCTCCCAGGAGACACTCGTGCACACCCTGGGCGCTGTGGCTTACTAGCTCCGATGTTCTGAAGGAAGTCCCCTGGCAGCCAGTGTCCTGGTTAAAAGTGCCACATGCCCTCTCTTTCTGAGGCTTCGCCCTCACCCAGATCCCTCCCTGGTTCTGCACCAGTGGCCAATGCAGACGCGGGGCCCGGGGACAGGGAGCAGCGCGGGCGGGTGACTGTTTACAGCCTGGATCGGAACACCCGGACCTGAGGTCCCAGGGCTTTCTGAGTCCACGCCCAGAGCAGTCAGTCAGAGACGGTTCTGGGCGGGGCTCCCCCTGAAACCCCGCCCCTGGGCGGAGACCCCGGTGTGGATTCTCCTGGAGCGGCCACCAGATGGCACTGTGCCGCCCACAGGACTCCAGCCACTGCTGGCGGTCTGGCCAGGCCTGTAGCCCACCCGGAGCAGCGGTGCAGTCACAGGGGCGCACTGGGGCTGCGTGCAGGCGTCTGAGCGAAACGCACGGCTGCCCGAGTCTGCCTCTGTCTCCTAGTCCCCGGCTCTGGCTGAAGCCTCCTGTGCTGGACAGCACACCCAGCACTACTCGTCACCCCGGCGGGCAGTTCTGTGACTGAAACCCGGGAGAAGCGGCAGGCTTCTGTGTGGGTCTCAGCATCCCGAGGGTGGCCCAGCTTCCCGGTCGGGCCCCGGAGCCCTGTCCCTCCTGCCTGCTCTGTCTTTCGGCTCACCGGCGTCGGCGCGCTCTCCCCGGCCGTGCTGGTCTGGGCAGGAGAACGCGGGTGGTGTGCTCCCACTCTCGGTTGGCGTGTGCTGCTGGAACACGCATGCCTGTCTGCACGCATGGTCCCGGGGACGGAGAACAGGCTTTGGCGATGGCAGCCCAGCAGAGACAGTGATAAGGAAGGGTGCAGGCCGGCTTGAGAGCCCATGGCCGGAGAGGCAGGGCTGTAGACGCAGGGGCCAAGGCCGGGGGTCCAGCGGACGGGGGCAGCGCGCCCTGCTTTGTGGCGGAGACTCGGGGAGGAGAGGGGCGTGGGCACGGGCGCCCTGCACACCTGTCAGGCCGCAGGGCCTCCGGACACTACGTGGAGCAGCCCCAGGGGGACGATGACAGGTCACTGTGGTGATGGTGAGAGGTGAAGGGACAGGCCTGAGGAACAAGTCAGCTCAGGAGACTCCCGTGAGGTAGGTCCCGGTGGGCGGGCCTTGGGGACAGGTGCTGAGCCCCTCAGGGGCCGTGGCCCCCAGAGGCCTCTGCTTCCTGGTGCATCTCGTGTAGGGAAAGGGCTGGGCCTGGGGCCGGTGACCCCCTCTGGGTGGAAGGCCCGCTGCTGCCCCACCCGAGTCACCGTAGAAAGGCCGTTAGCAGAGGTTCTGGGAAGAGCAGAGGCGAGCCCACCGAGTCACGTCCAAGCCGGCGTCTGGGCCTTCCGCGTGCGGGCACGTGAGCAGAAGTGAGGCGGTGCTGCGCGGGGCCTCACTCCTCGGACGCCGGCTTTGCTGCTGCCGACTGTGGGGTCTGCGCGGCCACTGGCATTGGAGGGGTGCACGGAGTGTAGTCCTGAAGGTCGGGGTGAACTTCACGGTGGCCATGTGGGTGCATGTGCAACATTCCCTACAGGTTCTCAGGTCACCAAGGTGCTGTGCTGGCTGGCCCCGGGGGCGAAGGTGAGGGGGAGGAGGCCGGGCTGGGCTGGCAGGTGCTCAGGGTGCAGAGCACAGGGAGTGTGTGCCCAGCAAGGGGGGAGGCGGGAGGCCCGCTGGCCAGTTCACAGCCCTGGGCAGGCCGCCCAGCAAGGGAGACGGTGGGACTGCACCCCTTCACTTGTAAAGCTCTCAGCTGAGAGGACGGGAGACGTCACAGCAGCCTCCTGGGCGAGCAGCGGGCCCCTGTGGGCCAGGTCTGCCCAGACAGAGGGACTGGCCCAGGTGGAGTTCTCACCACCTGTTCCTCACTCTCGAGTGTATGAAGTTCCCTTTAAATTCACCCTGGTGCACGTCGGGGCTGCTGCACAGTCAGGAGGGCAGACGCAGCCAGGGGTCTCCAGCCCGGGCTGGTGGGACCACCCCAGCCACCCTGCACCCCGTACCTCACACTGGGGTCCACGCCTGTGCCCGAGTCCACGGGCCTTGCTGATGACTGAGTCCTCTCCCAAGACCCACTACTGATGGCATTTCACATCTCGTCCCCCAGCTTGTCCGGCTGCCCACGAGCCACCTCGGCGATGAAGAAGGCGAAGCTGTCCGGGGAGCAGATGCTGACCATCCGGCAGCGAGCCAGCAATGGTAACCCCCGACCCCGCTCCCCACCCCACACAGCCCACACCCGGTCCCCCAGGACAGCTTCTCTCAGAGGTGACCGGACCAGTTCTGTCGCTTCCCATGAAGCCTGGCGCCGACCCAGGGGAACGTCTGCCCCAGGCCCCTCAACTCACACCAGGGTCACAGGCCAGGTCACAGGGGTCCCACACCAGGGGTTCCAGCAGTTACTCCCCAGAGTCCCTGCCTTTATGCTTCTGTTCTCCACCCCCGTAGCCTCCTCAGAGGACAGAACCGGCCCCCCTGCCCATCACACTGTGCTCCCAAGGGCCTGGGACTCCGAGTTGTCTGCAGAGTCCCTTCCCTCCTGGGCGTGCCTCGGGGTGTAGGGGTGGGGCCATGCCAGCCCTCGGGGACCCCTGTGGATCCCATAGCTGCGAACGCACCTACTTGCTTGAAGGTATTTGCAAACCCCAAACCAGCACTCTGGCGTGTTCAGGGCCACTCATGGGCAAAGTGGGCAGAGAAAAATGTATCCCCCAAGGCGTGTGCCTGGCTGAGCCGAGACAAGGGGACTCTGGCTGCAGCCCCTCTGTGAACAAGAGGGTCCTGCTCCTGGTCTGTGCAGCGCTGCCTTCCCTCGTCCTGAGCTCTTCTGGTGGTGACGTCTCTGTTTAAACAGCCCCAGGCACAGCGGTCAGGGTTCCCAGGTGCCCGAGGCTGTGATGGGGACAGTCGGCCTAGGGGACCTCTGTCCAGGCTGCCGGCAGCTGTGGGCCGTGACCTCTGTTTCTGAACCCACAGTGCACACTCCTCAGGGCATTTCCAAACGCACACCTGGCGCCTGCCCTGTGGGCGGGGATGAAACGTGAGCAGGCCGAGGGCCTGCGGGAGCCGCGCTCAGGCGGGGCCTGTCGGCGGGACTTGGGGGAACAGCGCACTGTGAGCAAGGAGTCCTGGGAGTTGGTCAGCGCTTGGCACCCGGGGCCTCTGAGAGGGCAAGGGCTCCGTCCCAGCCCCCAGGGGGTCCCGTGAGGACATGCAGCACGGCTCCAGACACAGACCTTGCCCACCCTCATCCCTCGGGACCAGGCAGCACAAGGCCGTGTGGCAGGACATGTGGCCTATCAGCCACCAGAGAGCCTGTGGGACACCATATGTGTGGAGGGCCCGGCCCCGGGCCCAGTGCCCTGCCTCTGCTCCCGTCGGCACAGCCGGTGTGGGGTGGGCCCGTGGTGGAGCAGCACTGCCCAGACCTGAGGCCACCCGCACCCCCACCCTGCGGCCCTGCAGCCCTGGTGGCCAGCCCGAGGAAGCCCTTCTGAGATGCGGTGCTCGCTGTGTAAAGGAAACCACCCTTTACAGATTCTTCCCAGAATACTGTGCCTCAGGCCGATTGCTCAGAGTTTGGTTGGGTCTGACTCGGCAGTGAAGGACGCGGCTGTGGGATGGAGGACAGACAGACAGACAGACAGACAGGAGGAGGGCAGGACGGGCCACCGCTCGCCGGGGCGGGGCTGATGGCAGGAAGCCCTGGGCTGGCATCTCTGTGCTGGCCCCGAAACCCAGCCTTTTCTGGTGCACCCGCGGCCCACTCTCAGCCAGAGCGAGCCTGCCGCGGTGAAGAGGGGCAAGCCAGCCCGGGCCAGGCCTCCTCTGTGCACGGACCAAGGCCCAGGGGTCCTCCGCTGGTGCCTGGCTCCGGCACTGCCCTGCTCAGCGCTGCGCCCCTCCGGGTGCGGCCGCCCGCCCACTTCTCTGCGTCGGAACGCAGTTTGCCGTCTCTTCCTGCTGTGAGAGCTGGCACACGCACGTCCACGGGGCAGGCACCGGAGCCCCGGTAACCGGGGAAGGGCGGCGGAAGGCCAGAGCCAGGTGGCCCCAGGCCCAAGTCCGTGCTGCAGCCAGGCTGCTGGTCCCGTCCGCCCCCATCCAGGCCCCTTTGGTGCCAAGTCTGGAGCCATGGCCTTGACCGTGTGGTTTGGTGGGGAGGGTGTCCTCCCGCAAAGCAGAAAGTCACCGGTTCAATTCGTGGTCAGGGCACAGGCCTGGGTTTTGGGTTCAGTCCCCAGCTGGGGCGCATATGAGAGGCAGCCAATCCATGTTTCTCTCTCACATTGATTTTTCTCTTCCTCTTTTTCTCCCACCCTCCCCCCTCTCTGAAAATAAATAACACCCTGAAAAAAAAGACCAGAGCCACGCTCTGCTCAGCCAGTTGCCCTGTTTCAGCAAAGAGCTGTGTTCTGGCCACGAGGGGTGGGGTGCAGTGAGCATCCGGGGCTGACCTGGGCAGGACCGCTGTCCTCTGGGGACAGGAGCCTGACAGTGCCCACCCCTCAGACCCAGAGACCTGTTAGCATGTTGCTCGGCTCCCTGCAGGGACAGTCTCTCTCCCTGTCTCTTCTTCAAACTGCAGTGCCAACCTCGCGCAGGGTCACTTGCTCATTCCCACGTGTAACCAATGTGTCTGGCAGCCCCCTCCATCTGTCCCCTTCCCATCAGGAGCGACCCCCAGCCCCACCCCTGCTGAGCTCTTGCGAGGAGCACCCCCCCCGCGTGGCAGGGCCCCAGCACGTGGAAAACCCACCAACACAATGTCGAGCCACCACTTCTCAGCGTGTTTGGACAGCTTGTACTTCGAAGGGATGTTGTGGCCAGGCCCCGTTAAATGACAAACCGGGTCATAATTGAGTTGCTTTTCACGCCGAGACCGCTGTGCCCTGGCAGTGCCACCTGGGCATCTTCGGCAGACGTTGCCCTCCCAGCACCTCCCGCGTGCGGACCTCCTGCGCGCTGAGTGTTCCCACGCTTCCTCAGCCCGTGCTGTGTCCCGGTTCCGGAAGGCTGCCATCAGAGTCTGCTCAGGCAGGAGGAAGACGCCAGACAGCGTCCCACCCCGAGGCAGCGTCAGTTCTCCCCCAAATGGCTTTGGGGGTGCGCTCGATGGAAAGGGAGTTGTGGTTGATACTCTGGGCCCTCTAAGCCGCTGGCAGGACGTGTCATGGGGACTGAAGTGGCTTCCCGAGGCTCACGGAAGCAGGTCCCGGGGCTTCCTGTTCATGGTCACCCCGGCCCCTCTGGGGAGCGGCCGAGGGAGGGAGGACCTGACAAGCACTAAGAGCGGCTCATCCGAAAAACCTGCCGTAACATCGAAGGCTGATTTCTGGGAAGGAAGGGCCGGTGTGTGGGAGCTCAGGATGGACACGCCGCGCCGTCTGCCCTGCGGCTGCTGTGCGGGCGGCGACCCGGAGCCTGTGCCGGGGGTCACGGGCTTTCTCAGGCCTGCGCTCCAGGTGGCCCGCACCCTCCGTCTGCGGTGCCGAGGGCAGCGCCAGGCTCACCGTTTTCCACTGCTGTGCTGGAGGGTCCCCGCTGTGCGTGCGTGCGTGCCACATGGCCGTCGGGAGCAGGAGTCTGCCCTGGGCATCGGGGCCATCGCGGTCACCCGAGTCCTGCTTTTTCCCCAGTTCACGCAGTCCTGAGGGACCAGGTGTCCCAAATGGTCGTAGCAAGGACCTGGGTCTTTCTGACCCTGGCGGGCACCAGCGCCAGCAGCAGAGCCCACAACCAGGCGAGCCTGCCTTCGCCCTGTGCCGGACGGGTGCACGTCGCCAGCCACGCTCCCCGTGCTTGCCTTCAGTCACTCACAATGAGGGGACTATTACCGAAGGTCAAATATTCAGCAGGCCCCTTTGTGGCCGCCGACTCGAAGTCCGTCACCGCCCCGTCGCCCCTTCCTGTCAGTCAGGGGGCTGGTCCTGAGCACGTGGCTGAATCGAGTTTGGGGTTATGCCCTTCACGGTTTTCTGACCCCAAATCGAGGCTTGGCGAGGGCAGGGACCCTGCCTGGACGCGTGTGAGAGGGACAAGAGAGAGGGCGGGACGGGAGGGCAGGCTAAGCCAGCAAAGTGGCCGCGGGCGGCGGCAGGTGTACCCACGCCCAGGCCTAGGAGAGGGCCGCCCCGAGGCCCCGGTTGGCCACCCTCAGGAGGTCCATCTCTCAGAGCAGGGTGGTTTTACACCTTAATTGGGACACACAGGTGTGACTGTTTTCAAATTCGAGGGTGTTTTCCCAGTAAACCCCACCCCAAACACGCAAAGAACAAAGAAGGGCTCTCGGGGCTCCAGCTCCGGGCCCCAGCGGTAAGGCCCTCCGTTCCATTGGCCGCAACAGGCATCGAGAACGATGAGGAGATCAAGCAGCTGGACGAGGAGATCAAGGAGCTGAATGAGTCCAACTCGCAGATGGAGGCCGACATGATCAAACTCAGGACCCAGGTAACGGTTTCTGGAGCCCGGTCCCTGCCACCTGCACTGTGCCCAGGGACCAGGGCACAGGACTGGTCCTCAAGGGGTCGCTCCCTTTTGCTTTGGTCATTTTTTCCTTATTTTTCACCCATGTCTGAGTCTCCTGCAGCTCCAGTGGCCGTGTCCCTGGAGCCCAGGGGCCCTCGGTCACTCAGTCACTAGGTCACTGTCACGTCTGTGTTGTGTGGTGGCCCTTCCCAGAGGTCCCTGGTCACGGCCCTCTCCTCCTGGCCCAGTGGGGCTCGCCGGTCCGACCCGGCGCCCACAGGGCTCCAGAAAGGACACTGCTCCTTGGAGCTCAGAGGCCGCCTCCGTGTGTCCGTGCGGTGCCAGGCCCGATGCCAGGGCCGTGCGGCAGGCAGCTGGCAGGGGGGCGGCAGGGGGGCTACCAGATGACCGATGGCAGGTGTCCTGAGATGCACTTTCCATGCCTGACATCTGAGGTCCGGGGAGCCGACCGCCAGCGCTGAGCCGAAGCCGGCGGCGAGCAAGTGGCTTCCAGGGGCTTCCAGCGGCACGTGTGGCCCCCCAGAGTGGCCTCTTGGGCCAGCACCACAGGGAAGGCAGGGTGCTGTCCTGCGGGAAGGGGGCTCCCCTCCCACCTGGCCCTGCGGATCCCCAGGAGAGGCTGAGACAGGGCCAGGGAGCTGCTCGGGCCCGAGGCGTCGAGGTAGAGGCCAAGGCCCGCTGACCCCCTGCAGTACGGCGAGCACGGGCTGGGGAGGGCGCGCTCTCTGCCTCGTCCGGCCATCCCGCCTGACCTGAGAGGCAGGATGAAGTCAGCAGCCAGATAAAAATACCGCCCTCCTGCCTCACTGGGCCCCGGGGCCAGAAGTCCCCATCAGTGCCCTCCGACAGCTCCTTCTCCTCCGGAGGCTGGAGGGTGAGTGCCCAGAGCCCTCAAGGAGACAGGACTGGCACTGGCCACCGTCCCCACCAACCCCCTGCTCGCCCTGCCCTGCTGGAGCCTTGACCCCAGGCTGGGAGGGCGCCGGACACCCTGAGCTGGCCCGAAGGGTCTGGTGCAGGTGCAGCTGCAGCTGGGAGCGCCTTTGGCCCCCTTTCCTGGCCACCCCTCCCCAGGGCCCCCCACCGTGGGCGGATGGGCAGGGAAACCATTTTTGAAACCGGGCCTCAGTCTGGGCACTGCAGAGTCAGGACTCGGGAGAGCTGGGTATGGGTCTAGGGAGCTGGACTTCCTTCCTACAGCGCTGTGGGGGTGCCCACTACCCCCCAGCACTGACTTAGCCTGTGGGTGTGTGCGAAGCAGCAGGTGGTCTGTAGGCAGTCTGGGGGCGAGGGTGTGGCCCGTGGGCGTGGCCTGCTAGGCATGTGGCCCAGAGGAGGATGGCTTACCTGAGCCCGGTGTTCTGTGACCTTTGCTGGGCCACCCTCCTCCACCCCCACAAGCCCATCTTTCAGCCCGTGGGTGGCTGGTCCTGCGCGGGAGTGCTGGCCGTCTGTGTGGCGGGGCACCACCCCGCAGCTCACGCTGGGGCTTCAGAGGAGGCGGGAGCCGGCCAGGGAGGAGCGGGGCCTCAATCTGATGGGGTGCACCAAGACCAGTGCCTGCCGCAGGGCCAAGGGACAGGCCTCAGACACTCTGGTACCGGAGGGCTCATCCAGGGCAGAATTAGAGTCGGCTGAAAAAGGAGCAGAGTCGGTACTGCGCTACTGCCCGTGAAATCCGCAGAGGAAGCAGGAGCCCAGAGGAAGCAGCTGTCCTGGGTGGTCCATTCCCAGGACGGAGGACTTTCAGGAAACTGAGCGTGGGAGCCTGCCCACCCCGGCTCGCGACCCCACTCAGAAAGGCCGGCGGCTCTGTCCCCCGTGACACCCCGTTTCTGAGGGGAAGGGATCAAAAGCAGGACCGCCAAACCCTTCAAGTGACAAGGCCCTAACTCTGAAACGTTCTCATTTAAGCACAAAGGTTCTTGTTTGCATCGCCAGACGGCCGCCCCAGGCCAGAGCCCGCGTGCCCGCGTGCCCAGGGTCAGCCACCCACGTCTGCCTGTGTTGCAGATCACCACGATGGAGACCAACCTGAAGACCATCGAGGAGGAGAACAAGGTGATCGAGCAGCAGAATGAGTCCCTCCTGCACGAGCTGGCCAACCTGAGCCAGTCCCTCATCCACAGCCTGGCCAACATCCAGCTGCCGCACATGGTAAGTGACTGAGCCGCCGGCGGCGGGGCCCACACGGGGCGCTGCGCAGGGCCACCGTGCCCACGGCCACCTCCCCGGCCGGCGGGCTGTCAGGGGCCCCGTAGGTGGAGGTCGCTCTGAGGAGGCCTTTGCAGGCGGTGCCGTGTTGTGCTGATGTGAATACGCTGTTGAGAAAGTACAAGTTGTGTATGAACTACTATTTAATATCTCGTAGGACCCAATCAATGAACAAAATTTTGATGCATACGTGACTACTTTGACGGACATGTATACAAATCAAGATCGTTATCAGAGCCCAGAAAATAAAGCCCTACTGGAAAATATAAAGCAGGCTGTGAGAGGAATTCAGGTCTGAACAGCTGCTGTAGTGACCGTAGTGACGGAGCCTCTTAAACAGGACGCCTCTGTGTCTCGCTGCTGTGGCCTCCCAGAGACTGTCCTGTCTCTGTTTCTGTTGGAACAGTGTCGTGCTCCCAAGACTTCACAGTGATTTTATGTCTTGCTTTGAAGATAGCACCTGCAGAATAGTTTTTGAATACATTCACATTTTGTACGTTTCATACGAGCTGACATAGTGCGACGTCCCACGTACTGTTTACAGCGCTGCGGTGTGCACACTGGGGTCCATATTCCTGAAGAGGGGAGCCGGTCAAAGTCAGTAGAGTGTAAATTCTTTCCGATGCTTTAGTGATAAATGTTTAGTATTTGGAACTGAAATGGACAAACAGCTTTGAATGACCCCGAGGTGGCCCCAGCCACGTGTAGACATTATCGTTCCGCCTCATGTTGGAGGATTTTATGGAATTTAAGAAATACATTTTGTGTGCATATTGTTTCATAGCAAGAATTGGTTGCAAAAATGCTTTATTTTTGAACAATGCTTGGAAATATTATGTGATTTTTTTGTTTGTCTGTTTTAGGAGGATGGTGGATGGTGGGGGCAATAAATGAGGTTTTTTGCATTCCAAGGAAATGGCATATGGATTAACTGTAAGAAATAAGTAATTTATTGTAAGACAACATCAAGCCATGGAAACTTGGCAGAAGATTCAAAGCAGCTCTCACAGCTCTTTTAAATTAGCTCCTGCGCCGTGCGCGGCGTGGCCCTGGGAACGCCAGTGAGACGGGGGCTCGGGAGAGGCGGACGCCGCGAAGATTTCCTTTTCCGTGTTCAGTACACCCTGCAGCAGCCTTCTCTGACCTCCCCGAGAGTGTCCTGGCCCCCGGACTGTCCCTCATTGCGACACGGCTTGTCCAGCAGAGCCCGTGCGCTTTCACTCGAGCTCCAGTCATTTGGGTGTTTGCTCCCCCGGCCGCCTGAACAGCTGTACAGCTGTTGTCATTGCCGGTTCACACTCGGGGCCCAGAGGGAAGCGGTTTGCCAGCCTGCGAGTCACTGGACTGGATTTCCAGCTGGATCCAGCGGCAGAGCTGCTCCCTGCGGCGTCGCCCGCCCCCGCCTGGGCCTGAGGCGCGGTGGGCCCCACTCAGAACTCCCCCGCCGCCGCCACCTCTGCCCCTGTCGCTGGAGACCGGTGGACCCTAGAGCGTCTGCACAGCCTTGTAGAGTTGTCCTGTGCTGTTCTGAAACGAATGCAATCAGATTTTAAGAGTAATTAGCGTACTTCAGCACTTTTCTTTACTCGAGACCACCCTAGACCTGCCCGCCCCGTGGAGACGGACCGTTTTACGTGACTCGGCACTCGCTGTGCGCCACGCCCGCCGCCGCGGCTGCGCCCCGCCCTCCCGATAGTCCCTAGGACGTGCCGTGTTCTCTGGTGTTGACTCTCCACACGTTGTAGCATCGCTTCCTTCCATGTCTTGATGTTACGCAGGAAGTACAAAAGTACTTTAAAATTTTGTTATGAAAAAAGATGGGTTTTGTAAAAATAAAAAAAATATTTTTAGCAGAACAGGACTTACAGGGTCATTGTCCCCACAACGTGCCAGTCGACTATTTGCACTCACCTTGTCCTGCGTACCCGTGCGGACCGTGCAATTCCTGCGCCAGAGCCGCGCGGCGCTGGCCGGAGCCGGGGCGGGGCCCTCCCGGCGGACCCGGAGACGCGCGGCGGACACTCGGACCCGTGCTCCACCTCGGCACGCACGTGTATAGATGTACGTACACCCCCGCGGCACTTTATACGGCTCCCTGTACAAACGCTCCGTTCTCCGCAAGGACCCGACCCGAGCTGGGAAAGACGATGTCCCCCCCGGGGCCCCGCGGCCGGCCCTGGGGGCGCCCGCTGTCTGCTAGCGAGTAGTTGCAGCCGCCACGCTCAGAATTGCCTTCGAGAGCTGAGGCCAGGTGCCCGGCACCTGCCGCCACCCCTGGGCCGGCCCGGCCGCCGTCCGTCCCGGCGTATGCACCCCCGTCGTGTCCGCAGCTTCTTTGCCGATATAGTGATGCTTCCGTAGAGTATAGGTAGTCTCGGTTTGGATTCTTCTCGTTCTCACCTGTGTACAATGGAAAGGGGTCTGAAGCACAATCCTGCTGCTCATCTAAGTTGGTGATGACACCCAATCGAAGTTCTCTGTGACTGTCACATAGGGTCCCCAAAGTGTCTCCTGCTAGAATGCTGACCTTTCATATGGAATTCTTGTGAGTCATCAGAGTTTATTTATTATAACTTATTGTTCATATTCATTTCTAAGTTAATTTAAGCAATCATTTATTAAGACAGAATTTTGTATAAATATTTATTGTGCTCTCTGTGGAACTGAAGTTTGATTTATTTTTGTACGACACGGCATGGGTTTGTTCACACTTTAATTTTGCTATAAATGTGTTGGATCACAGTTGCAGTGATACTTCATTTTTAAATTGTGAACTTTGTACAAATTTTGTCATGCTGGATGTTAACACATCTTACTCTAAATAAAACGGTGTTGCCACATTTGTAGCGCGGCGGGTGTGTCACCGGGGTCCCCGTCGTCCCTCGCGTACCGGCCGGCAGGGCTGCCTGGCCCGGGTCCCGGGGACAGGGGAGGGGTCAGGGCTGCACCCCAGGCTGCTGAGCAGAGCTGCGTGGCTCCGCTGCCCCTCGCTTGTCTGGGAGGGGCCCCTGCCTGGCCCGTGGGGACGCGTCCAGTGGACCCGCAGGTCCCTCCCCGGATCAGGGACACTCAGCTGAGCAGCCACAACCCTCCATGCAGGAGTGACGCCGCGCTGTGACCCACACCTGCCGTGCCGGGTGGCCTGAGAGTGTCGGCACAAGTCTCCCCGACCTGGCTCATCAAGGATCCCAGGCTGCTGTGTGGTCGTCACGCACGTCCCTGGTCCCTGCTCCTTCGTCCTGAGCGGCTCCCTCGCCTTCCTCTCTCCCAGGACGTTGGGGACCTGTCCGGCCGTCCCAGTGTCAGCTGGGTTCATGCCACCTCGTCATTTACGTTGGTAAAAGTCCGGGAAAGCTCCAATACAGAGAGGTGACACCCCAAATACAAAACCTGAGGGAGAGGCCCCATGACCTCTGTTAAGTCCCAAACGCACTCCCAGGGGCCCCGCTCCGCTCCCCGGCCAGGCCACCTGGGCCCCTGCAAGTGCCCACTCAGCCTGAGCAAGGCTCACGGCGGGGGGGCGGGGGGCGGGGGGGGACCCCTGGGCTCCCGCCTCGGCTCCAGGGGGCAGGCGCGAAGCCTCGCCTCAGGGACAAACGCGGCAGAGCGGGTGCCGGCCCGGCGGCGGCCGGCGTCCAGACTCAGACGTGCCGACTCGATTATCACAGGGCGCACTGTCCCCCAGGCGCAATGTGGCTGAGACTCCGTGTCAACATCTCACAATGCAACGCAGCCAAAATGTCAAAACTATTACATGATTTCAGCTTTAACCCTGTGATCCCAGAAGTCTATCCGAAATACCAAAACAGGACTGAATGTACAGTGATATCGAAACATAACCCAGAGGCCCCACGATGGAGGGACCGTGAAGCCCCCGGTGACACGTGTACTTGAGCTTCGTGGTGTGACTCTGTGGTGTGCCTGGGTGGTGTTCACAAACACCTGTCAGTGACGGCCTGCAGAACAATGGCCGACCCGTGCAGGGGACAGGACTAGAAAAGCCCGCCGGTGATTGCCGACCACCACACGTGACCCCCGACTCGTGTGTATGTGTATGTGTGTGTGTGTGTGCGCATGCGCGTGTGCAGGGGGACCACGGCATCTGTCCTGGTGCCCGGGTCCCTGGTGAGCTGCAAAGCCGGTACAGCTGGGGACAGCCATTGGCTCCAAGGCAGTGGAGCGTCTCCGCAGAAAAGAAGGCAGAGGAGGAACTAACTGCGAAGCCCAGTTAGAAAGCAGACGTCTCCAGGTTCAGGTGAGGGTGGGAGCAGGTGGAGGCGAAGAACACAGCGAGGGGACGTGCCCTTGGCGCCCTCCCCCACCTTCCCTCCGTCAGGGACCCAGAGGGGAGCCTGTGTCGTGTCCCTCACCCCAGTCTCAGGAGGGGGCCTGGCCCCGGAAATGCCCATGGTTCACGTCGTGGTGTCCCCACAGAGGTCGGGGGGGCAGGGCCATGCTGTATGGCAAAGGCTGCCACCAGCTCCTGGTGGCTCCCCCCGGCGCCCCCCTGCCGTCCCCCGCCAGTGGAAGGACAGTGTCCCTCCCCATGGCCCCACCCGCCTCCCAGGGAGCCTCCGGGGACTCTGGGGGTCCCAGCGGGCAGAGCGCCTGTGCAGCCCACCAAACAAAAACGCCTGCCTCTCCGCACGGCCGCCCCCCCCAAGGCTGTCACAGCCCCAGCAGACGCAGGAGCAGGAAGGGCCCGCGAGCAGCGAGGCCTCCCCCGGCCCCTCAGCACAGCCCCGCCGGGCGGGGCCGGGGCTCCAGCCATCCCAAACCTGCCCGAGACACACTCTCACTCCTTGTCTTTACGTCTCAGTCACATGACACCCGAAAAAGCCCCCGGTCACTGAAGTGTAGGGCACGGTCTCTGCACAGAACGGAAAGGCAAAATAAACGAAGACCGAATCCCGCCCTGATGAATGCAGGCGCAGCAGGCACAGCCGGCTGCCCCTGCGGGGCACTGTCCCTGCCTCCCCTGCCGGAACAGCCTCCCCGAGGAGCTGGGCTGCGCACCTGGTGTCCACCTGGCCCAGGAGGGGGTCAGGGAGGCGAAGCACGGTCTTCTCTGAGGACCCAGGGGAGGTGTTCCCTGGGACCAGGGGACGCAGGTCAGTGAGGCTGTGGCTGCGGTAGCGGAGGGGACCTCCCCCTGTCCTCCTAGACTCTGGGCTGGGGCCTGTGAGGAAGAAGCTGAGGTGCATCACCAGCTTGGGTCACGCAAGCTCAGGGACACCTGGGCAATGAGTCGGGGACCCGGCGGGGAGGGTCCAGGCCTCACCGACCTGCGCTCAGTCAGGAGGGCAGGAGGGAGGAAAGTGAGCCGGGGCCGAGCGGCGGGGCCTGGGCCCGTGACCACCTGCAGCTGCCGCCGACCTACCTTAATAGGAGCGATGGGTGTGATTCTCAACCTTTCCAGTTAAAATGTCTAAAAGCAGAAGGTGCAGCATTTCCTTTGTAAATCAGGGGTTATTGGGTTGTTGTGGTTTTTTTTGAACTGTAGTTGCTAAAACATAACCGGTCCCCCTGAGAAAAGGTGTTAAAAGGGAAGTGAGCAAACGCCAATGCGCGTCACAGTCGGCAGCTTCACCACGTTTTAAAACAGACGCGCTCCTCAGACGTTGTGTGACTCGTAGCTGACGTTTCCGGCACAAAATTCGAGATTCGGTCTAATCACAGAAATCGCGGCTGCTAGATGCCGAACACACACGGATTCAGAAACTTTGTTTAGGTCTTATTTAGGGGAAGGTTTATCATATCCAAATTTTGGCTTTTTACCCTCTATTAAATTCCAACGTGTACCAGTTCACTTCTCTGAAAACACGCTTTTCCAGCACGCAGGGCCTCCGACGGGGGCGGGGGTTCCGGTGGGCCTGACAGGAGGGACCGAGCCGTCGGCGGATGCCTCTGCAAGGGGCGTCCTCCTGCTGGGTCGGTGGAGAAAGCTCCTTCCTCACCACGCCACGCCCATTCACGCTCGTGCCCATCGAAGCCCGTGCTGCACCCTTTCCCACCTCGTTCTTCCGTGTAATGTTCTTCGAACGCACTGATCAGCACGAAGGTGGCCCGGAAACCTGGGCCTCAGCGAGGGAAGCTTGCAAAGGCCCCACGTGACGCCACCCCCAGCGTGACATCCAGTCCGAGAGACATGGAAGTGGCAGTGCCTGGCCAGCCACCCTTGGTAACGCCGCTGGCCTGCACGCTCCCCGAGTGTGCATGGGAGTGTGCTACATCTCCCCCTGGACGGCACTGAGGGGTAGCGTGAACTCCAGCCCCCAACGGGACGGCTTCGGGGAGGGGATGAGGGGGAGGCCCCAGGAAGGGATTAGTGCCCTTATCACTGACGCAGGGAACACAGGCTCCCTCCCTCCGGCCCCACATCCGCCCGGAAGGACACGCGTCTGCTCGTGGGGAAGCTGCCCTCACTGGACACCAGACCAGCTGGCGCATTGGTCCTGGACTTCGAGCCTCCAGGGCCCCAAGACACGTCCGAGGCTTCACCCGCCCTGGGGTGCTCCGTCATGGGGGCCCGAGCTGGTGAAGGCAGAGACACCAATGTCCAGAGAAAAGATGGGCACTTTCTCCTCCATGCAGCGACCACTTGCCTCACATTTCGAGAGGTGACAGTGACATCACATGTGGAAAGTGCACGAGCAGAGTACCCAAAGTTCTGAGAAGACCAGTCTCAAAATGCCCACAGGCCTTTTGCAACAGTAGGCAAGTTTCCATCCACCTTGACTCTGGACTGCAGGCAAGGCTCCCTCACAACACACTCGGGCAACACAGTGTCGCAGCCGATTGGGGGGCTGACTGGGACACGGGCGGGGGTGGGGGGGGGAGGCTTGGGGCATGGAACTGCCCAGCTGGGGTTTTTTACCATCCAACAGAAGCGCGTTCCTGACCGTAGACCTCAGAGGCAGAGAAACGGGCACTAGATTGGTGACAGCAGGCGAGTGGGAGCTGCCCCCTCCTGGTGCAGGTGGGGAAACTGAGGCCCAGAGGCAGGGCAGGGTCGGGTGAGGGACCAGGGCGCCAGATTTGGTGAGGCTGCCGCCCCGTCTGGCTGTGTCCCGGGGCCCATGTTCTTTTCTGTCTCAGTCCTTACAGGGGGTTCGGTCGAGCAAGGAGACAGACAGGTGGACAGGTGCCATCAGACACTGCGAAGAGGCAGCCGGAGGCACCGACCAGCTTCCGGGGACAGCGGCACCGGTGACGCGGAGCCTGAGGGGTGAGGGGCTCTCGGGCCGAGGGCGCGGGCGGAGCAGCGGAAGCTCCGCAGCCCGAACGCCGACCGCTCAGCCCCGGGGAGGGCGGCGACCACCCCCTGGTCCGGGGGCTGTGCCGGAGGCGCGGAGGTGCGCCGGTCCTGGTGCGCCCCCTGCAGCCGGGGCGACCCCGCAGCGGGCCAGCCGCCCCGCGAAGGCCTGGGGGTCCCCGCCCACGTGCACGGGGTGGGGCACGGGACCCCGTCCGCCCCTCCGACCGAGCGAGGCCCTCCCTCCCCGAGGAGCGCAGGCCCCTGAGAGCGTCGCTCGGACTCCCGGCTCTCGTCTCCGTTGCTCTATCCGCCGGGGGTGCGGGGGGCAGGCCCGCGGCCTCCGTGGGTCTCCGGGACCTCGCCCGACCAGTGGCCACCTCTGCTTCGTCGTGCGGGCGGCTGCCCCGCTGACGACCCTCCGCGGCAGGAACGCTCCCGGGAGGGACGCTCGCGGTGGACGGTTGACGGGATTCGCTGGGGCAGAGCGTCGGCTGCGAGGCGGCGGCGGCGCCGGGCCCTCGGCCGATCCCCGGGGCGGCCTCCAGGGGGCAGGCGCGCGCAGCCGGGAACAAAGGCGCGCGGAGCGCGTTCGGCCCCAGGAAGCCTCCCCGCCCAGCGCGGATTCTTTGGGGCCCAAATCACCGAGGAGCGGCCCCCAGGGCCGCCCGGTCCGGCGCCCGCACGTGGCTGTGTGTCAGCCGGGTCTTCGGACGGACGGTCACTACAGTTTGGGGGGGGGCGGTGGATGAGGGTGGGCGGTGGAGGGTCAGTGGGTGCGCAGGGGGGAGACAGGGAAGAAGGAGGGAAAACGGGGGGCCGGCCATGTGGGTTTTCAGGAACCCGCCCCTGCAGTGGTGGCGGCGGCCTGAGCCCTGGGCAGGCCAGCGGACCAGAAGCGCGAGCAGGCTTCGGGCAGAATTCCCTCGAGAAACCTCAGTTTTCACTCGGAAGACCTCAAACTGATAGGCTGGGACCCACCCCCAGGGCGCCTTGGTAACCGACAGCCGCCGACCGCAGCGTTAATCAGTGGTGATCTTATCTGCAAAAGCCTGGAGCGTGCGGCCGGGCGCCGCAGCCCCGCGGAGGACTCGGAAAGCCAACCGGACAGGCGGTCGGGAGACGCGCGGCCCCTGGGGCTGGGGCGCCCGGGACGCTCCCGCTTAGACTGGCGACGTCGGTGGGGACAAAGGCTCATTTCCGATCAGCGTCGCCCCTCGTCCAGCAGCTCCTGCTGGACGGTGCTGCGACGTCACACAGCTGCCACCGCGGCGGCCGAGGCCCTGCTCCTGCGGGACCACGGGGCGTGGGGCGGCCGCCTGGCCAGCGCGGCGCCCAGCAGGGCCCTGGGGGCAGCGCGTGGGCGGTGCGCAGGCCTCAGGTCTCCGGAGGGCGCCCCACGGCCTCTGTCTCCGGGTGTGCGCGCGGGGAGAGCCAGAAAGAGAAAAAAGCAGCAGCTTGGAACGGGGCCTGGAACCGAGTGAGCGCCGTGAAAATGTTTCACAAAACAATGAAAACGCCGCGTACACGGGGAAGCCCAGGCCCCAGCTCCGGGGCGCAGCTCCGGGACTGAAACCGCGGCCCCCTTGTCTCCGCGGCCCCCGGGAGTTAGGCGGCCCGGAGGGGGTGCGGCGGCCGGAGGTCTTCGCCCCGCCCCTGCCCTTGGGGAGGGGGGGCCGGGAAGGGAGGAGCCGCGCGCATGTGCACAGCTGGCGCCCCCCGCCCCCCGCACAGCTGGGACGTGGGCCGCGGGCCGGAGGGCGGGCGGGCGCAGTCCGGACCCGGCCGGGGACGCGCCGGGGCCTGCGCGGTGGTCGGGGCGTCCGAGCGTCCACGCGCGCCGTGGCCATGGCCGTGCGCCCCGCGCGCTCCTGCCTGCTGGCGCTGCTGCTGTGCTACGGCTGGGGGTCGCTGGTCGCGGTGGCCCAGAGGCCGGGCGCCGGGTGCCCGAGCCGCTGCCTCTGCTTCCGAAGCACAGTGCGCTGCATGCATCTGCTCCTGGAGGCCGTGCCCGCCGTGGCGCCGCAGACCTCCATTCTGTGAGTGCGGGGGCCGTGGGGAGGGAATCCGGGGGCCGGGCGGGGCCCGCGGGCCTTTGTCCGCGCCACCCGGGGCGCGGAAGGCGGACCGGAGCGCAGAGCGCGGCCTCCGCAGCCGCCTTTGTTTGCCTCCGGGAGTCCCGGGCTGGCCAGGGAAGTCGTCGGAAGCAACCGGGGAAAACCCCACTCCGGGCGGCCCGTCCCCCGCCCGCTCGCTGCCCGCCTCCGCCCCCCTTTCTTTCGCGTCTCCCGCTCTTCTCCCTGCTCCTCCCCCTACTCCCGCCCTGCGCCCCCCTCTCCACCTTCTCCCGGAACCTCGCTTGGGGATCCTAAGTCCCGGAGGTCCCCCGCCCCTGTTCCCGCATCCGCCCGCTGTGCCCAGACCCCTTGTTCCCGGTGTCCCGGCCCCGCGGGGCGGGTGGTTTCTCGGCCTCTCCCTGAGCCCGGATCGCGCCTGGCGGTGGAGGCACCAGGAGGGGCCACGGGGCTGGTCTTTGGGGTTTGGGCAGCCGGGGTCCCAGCGAGTTTTCCGCCGAGCGGGTCACCCGCTACTCTCCAGCCCGGCGCCTCGATCACGGGCGGGCCAAACTTCGGGGACCCAGGGCGCCGCCGTCCGCGCAAAGTTACGATCGCCCCTCTCCGTGGGCCCGGGACCCTGCGTACCTCAGAGGCCGGATCGCGTGCCCGAACGCGGGTGCCCGGGGCCCCGAGATGTACGGAAGGACTTGGACCTGGAATGCGCTCCAAGTTAATGCAGGCGAGCGCTTTCGGCGCCGCTGCAATCCGCGCCCTGGGGCTGCCTTTCTGGATGCCAAAAATAGTTTCCACTTCTCTTGGCTGAACGAGCGCTTTTGGCCCGGCCGCAGGACCTGCAGAAGTTGTAAAAATTTGAGCGAACTACTCAGGAAGTGGGCGGTCGGCGCGCCTACTTTTCAGACGAAGTGCAGGCGCGGACCCCGCTCCCAGCCACCCGGCCTTCGGGTTCCCGGGCGGCGTCCTCAGCGGGGAACCAGCCCCTGGGCCGGAGAGTCGGCCTCGTCTAGCAGGGCAGCGGACACGGAGTGAGGTTTCATGGATGCAGACAGTGTAATTCTTGAGTGAGTCAGTGGGAACAGCTGGGACCCTGCACCCGCTTTTGCATCTGGCCTGAAGCTGGAGCTCGGGGCACTGTGCCCTGCGGTCAGACCTTAAATTGCTTTTTAAAAAGAAAGATACTTCCAAGCGGGAGTGTAGCGGCCCTCCACACACCCTGACACCCTGGTGGAGCAGTCGAGGGTGGGCCGTTTTCCAGAAAGCGCTGGTTCCTGCCTTCCGGGGTCTCTGGAGAGCTGGCAGAGGCCATCCAGTCTGCGTGCCAGGCAGAGGCACGGAGGGCCCAGAGCCCAGCCCACAAGCGGACGGAGGGGGAGGGGACCCAGGTCCAGGTGGAAATGGGCGGGAGGTTTGGGCAGGAGACAGCCCAGTGGGGTGCACCCCAGGGAAGTAGGGGGTGGGGTGGGGGTCACGTTGGTATGACCCCCCCCAGGCCCGGTCTGCTCGCCGGGACACAGTCCCTTTATAAACTCCGCTCACTCAAACACCTGTGTCCAGCTTTTCCCCCGGTCTCTGCTCTCAGGGCTGTTACTGATTCATTAAAAGTTGATGGGTGGACATTGGGAACTTGGCCCCACAGTCACTAAGGCCACTCAGCCACTGCTTCACCCCTTTGCTTCCACGTCCCCCTGCCCACCCAGCCCATGAGACTGAATCAGGACCGTGGGACGGACCGGACTCGCGAGCACAGGCGGCAGGGTGTGCTCAGTCGGGCCTGGTGGCATGGTGGGTGTCTGGATCGAAGGTCAGGCTCCCGAAAATGCTGCTCCGAGACCTCCTGTGACTCAGGTTCCCTGTAACCTCAGTGCGGGCCAGCGGCATGGCAGCAGGAGGGGTGCTCAGGCCCCCTCCCACCGCCCCCAGGGCCCTGCAGCACCCGCATCCCCTCCAGCGCTGGGTTCCTCACTGCAGAAGAATTTTGTCCCCGTGTGGGCCAACAGCTGATACCCTTCCTCGGGGTCCTGCCTCTCTGCCCCCACGGCCCTCCTCCTGGCCCCTTTCGATTCCCTGTGGCCCCCTCTGAGGTCCTGGGATCCCACTTCTCACTGCCCCTCAGGCGGGTCAGTCCGCAGCCCTGGCTCATCCCAGACTGTCGTTCAAGTACCGGAGGGGCCTGGGGGTGCGGCCTGGGAAGGGGCGCTGCCGAGCAGCCCTGGACTGTCCCACCACGGTGGGGGCGAGGCACAGTCCCCGCCGGCCATCGTCCGCCTGGCAGGCAGCTGTCCCCACACCCCCGTTTTCCGATCAGCTCTCGAGTGTTTGCAGCTGTGCCCTGTTCTGGTTCCCGCCTCATGGAACCCCTGGCCCGGCGGGGCCCCGAGTGGTGGCCTGCGATGGGATGATGAGGATGAGCAGCCAGTGCACCTCAGGGTGACTGGGTGCCCTCAGCAGGCCCGTGTCCACACGGGCGGAAGGCCCGGTCTTCCCTGAAGCCCAGCTTCCCCTGTCCCCCCGCCTCTGCTGGAGCTCCGCCCCGAACCTGGCTCCGGAGAACCCAGTTCCCACCACTGCCCTTTGCCCAGTTGGGTGGGGCTAGCAATGTGCTCCAGGTGCTGACGTCCAAGGTCGGTGGATGTCAAGGCCGCCTGCATCCCTGGAGGACGCTCGAGGTCCGGAAGTTGGAGCCTTTGGCTCCAGAAATCCGAATTCCTGCGTTACTTTAAATTCCCTGTTGTGGTGATGCCAGAATATGTGTTTTCACAGCTCGAGTGCATTTGAAAAGCACCCTCAGCATATTTTAAAGCAGGCAGGTGCCAGGGCTGTCACCCCCCCCCCCGTACCCGCATTGGGCTTCCCCCGGTCCCAGTGACCACCAGTCTCAGTCACACACGGTTGGCTGCAGTCCAGGAACATGCAATGGAAAATTCCAGAAATAAACAGTTGTTAAGTTTTGAATTGCAGGCTGCTGATGAACTCTGCCTCGGTCTGGTGCTCCCCCCCCCCCCCCCCCCGGGACCTGACTCATCCTCTCTCTGCTCCCCTCCATCACCCAGCAGCTGGCCTGTCATCCGATCAGCTGTCCCTGTGGGGCGGGGCTTGTGCTCAGGTCACCTGTTTCCCTGGCTGAGGATGGTCCCTGGGGCACGGCCTCGGCAAGGCTGGCAGTGCCGGGAAGCCAGGAAGGGCCTCCTTCTGGGGAGAGAGCACTGTGCGAGGCGTTTTCGCAGAGAACCATCGTTCCACGGTCTCCACCGTCTCCTCGTCGTTGTTGGGCTTTATTCTCAGTTGTCGTTAACCTCCCGTTTGCACCTGGTCTGTAACTTAAACTCGATCGCAGCTGCATGTAGGGGGAGACTTGGGGGATACAGGGTTCGGTCCCACTGGCAGTTCAGCGGGACGCGTCCCCCGTGGGTAAGGCGGGGCTGCACTTTATTTCCACACGGTGAGAGGCGGCACGCTTCTCGGGGGCTCGGGGCCCCCGGGGCTGTGTGCCTCCCTGGACCGCCTGCGACCCGCCCAGCGTGTATCTGGGAGCGAGGAACCCTGCACAGCCCGGGGGTCCCCTCCTCCCTCCCCCCTGGTGTTTTCAGTGAGTCGCGGAAATGGCTGCAACAGGGAAGAGCTGCGGTGCCCACGGCTCTGAGTCAGAGCCACTCTGACCGCTCGCTGGCCTCCCCCAGGGCCCACCCGCCCCCGCCGTCACGTGCCTTGGATGCCTCACTCGCTTCCTTCTCCGGACCGGACCGCTCTGCGACTCAGTTTCCCTGCACAGGGAGGGCGAGCAGAGTGGGCTCCCCTCCTGGGGGGCAGCGCAGCAGCCGGCGAGGGAGGGAGTCTCGATGTGCAGGCACAGCTCCTGGGGCCGAACCACAGCTGTCTGTCCTTCCATCCCTGCTCAGGTGCGGGTCTCACCCCCCCGGGCTGGGGACCCGTTGGCCCCCAGGGGGTGAGACCCGCAGGGAGCCCTCTCTGTGGCTGCAGGGAGGCAAGGGCTGAGGGTTCCTGGCTGTAGGAGAAAACAGGACGTTCTGTAACACAAAGTGGACGCAGGGCAGGCTGGGCAAGATTCAACTGTGTGGACGTCAGCGAGAGCCCGGACGGCTCCCGGGCCCGCTGCTGACCTCCTGGGTCTGAAACTGGGTGAGGGGTGGCGTCACCCGCGCCCGGGGCTGCGTCCCAGCAGCTGAGCGGGGGCTGTCCTGTTTCCACTGCCTGGGCGCCCCCAACAACAGGATGAGCCAGGCCAGGTGCCAGTGGGAATGTGGGGGGCCGCGGGGCTTCCCCTCCCCCCGCCACACAGTCCACAGCCAGGAACTGGCTCCCCCCCCCCCCCAGGCTGCGTGGCCTTGGAGGGGCCAGGGCACTTCTCTGGCCCCCGGAGCCACGGTCCAGCTTTGCCAAGCACGCCGATCGTGGCACCTGGGGGCACCCGGGAAGATGAGGTGCTCTTGAGAATGCCTTTTTTGGTAAATCCAGTTTAAAAGCCGTTGAACCTGACTGAGCCGAATCCTGTGCGGTGACTCAGGACGCCCTGAGTCCTCTGTGAGCCGGGTGCCCTGCGGGGTCCTGACACATTGGCAGGTCACCAGCTCAGCGTGATTCCCCGCATCCCCGCCTGGCACCCGATGCCCCCGTGGCATTTAAAGTCCTGTCGTCGAGCTGTCCCCAGTGCTGCTGTCACGGCCACCGAGCTCTCTCTGAGGTGAGAGTGTTGCGCGATCATGTCACCTGAAGCCGAAAGTCTTTCTTGAAGTTGAAGTTGAAAGATGGGAACCCTCTTCCTCCCGGTCGCTGGTTTCCGGTCAGACGCCATAGACGGCAGCGAACGCGAAGAGGGGCTCAACCCGACGGCCCCTCCAGAGCTGCCAGTCTCGGTGGCCAAGAGAGCAGTGGGCAGGCGGCGGTCTGTGGGGCCCTTTTCCGGCCCTGGCGTGGGGTCAGCTGGCGTGTAACTGGCCAATCGGTTTATTCTGGACACTTCCTCTCCCCGATTGCTCAGTGCTCTGAAAGGGAGAGAAGTGGGGGGCTCTGTCGCCCCAAGAACGCACCCAAAGGCCGAGGGTGAAGGACGGCCACACCGCCCTCCGTGTGTCCCCAGTGTGCTCCGGGTCCTCCCGAGGGAGTCACTCAGGACTTGGTGGCGGCTGGTTTGCGATCGGACTGTACCCCCGCCCCCGGCGTTGACAGGTGGAGGACGGACGGGCTCTCGGAGGGCTGGGTGGCCGCGTCGCCCGCCCGGGGGGCCGCAGGCGGGCGCTCCTTCTGCAGCAGGAGCCTGGCGGTGGCCCGGGTGGGTGTCGGCTTCGGTGCGTGTTCTCGGTGGTGCCCCTGTCCCAGCACGGAGCCCCCACCCTGCCGGTGGCCCTGGGACGTCAGTGCCTCTGCTCACCAGGGTGGATGCTGTTCTCCTTCTCTGGGGTGTCTTTGGTTTTGGCGAATCGGCCACCTGAGTGGAGGAGCGGGTTTTGGAAAAGTGAGTCCGGCTGGTTTTCCTTTCTCCCCAAGTGCTGACTGGGACTTCCCAGCGATGCCCCCTGGGCTTGGGGCTGCCTCTGTGGAGAGCAATTTTAAAAAGTGTTTTTAGTCGATTGATTGATCTTAGAGAGAGATCGATTTGTTGTCCCACCCATTCATTTGTTGTTGCTTCTCGCACGTGCCCTGACCCAGGATCAAACCCACAACCTTGGTGTGTTGGGACGATGCTCCAACCCACTGAGCTACCCGGCCGGGGCCCAGGGGAAGAAATTAAACTGCCATTTCGGCTTCTCCAGTGACTGAGTGAGGGCCGCCCTGCGGAGCCGCAGACCCTGAGCGAGCGCCGGTGGTCTGTCTCCGGGGGTCTGTCCGTCCGAGGCTGCTGGGATGCCTCCAAGGTCGCTGCTCCCGGTGCCAGAGGCCTGGCCGATGTCACTCGGTCCCTGACGTGAGAAGGACGTGTCTTCTCCCTTGTCCCTGCACCGGTGTCTGCCGACGGGC